GTTGACAGGACTCCATGAAGCACCAGACAAGGTTCATCTCACACAAGCCAGCAAACGTGGTTCTCTCAAGCATGGAAGTTGTGTCACAGTCTATGGGCTTTAAGACACACATTCGTAATTACAAGGTGAGGTACTATAGTAAGAGTTTGGTTAGGCATTCTTATCGGTTGAAATCGCTTCATTGTTTTTTGTGATGTGTATCTTAACATTTCTTGAGAGTTTATATATCATATCATCATCTCAGCCTTCTCAAAGTACCCAACAGCTGTTAACCGTTTCCATTTTCAGATGAGAGTGGAAGGATTATCTGCAAATAAGACATCTCATTTCTCCGTCATACTAGAAGTAACTTCTCTTAAAACCAGTCCAACTTTTTTACTTTGGTCTCTCTATGTTCGAAGTCTCACTAATCATTTTCAAATCTGAAGGTCTTCAAAGTTGCACCATCAATTCTCATGGTAGACATTCAAAATGCAGCAGGAGACGCAGAAGAATACCTTAAGGTTAGTTTCGGAAGGAGACCTTAGTGTTATAAGTTCACCTTGAGGGATTGTGCGACTCCGGAATAGTAAAAACCAGTTTATGTTTTGCAGTTCTACAAGACTTTTTGTAGTAAGCTTGATGACATCATTTGGAAGCCGCCAGATGCATCTATGAGAAATCGAGTCACCAAGGCCAAGAGTAAAAGACGTTGAATCCACGTGCGTGGTATTCAAGCAGAGCTTTCACAGAAGACAGTTAGAAACAATATTTAACTCTCTGTGTTTCTTAAGTGCTTTAGTCGAGTGAATATGTACAAGCTTGTTGATTTGGTTTTAATTTATGAATACATAGAAGATTGTACTAAACTTATACGATATCAAGACTAAATTGAGTGAAAATTGCTGATAGTTTCTCCTGATTTGAATACGGTCTGATGCGATGATCCATATGCTTCCAACATAATTCATTTATTCTCATACATTCACCGGTCTCGTCCTTCTGAGTATATATGTATACTGGTAGGGACGTCCCTATGTTAATTGGCTTTGTTCCCTGCCACGTTTTGAAGAAGTTGATGCAGCATCTCAAACACGTTTCAGTGTCATTCTATTTTCCCTCCTTTTTAGGGATTAGATAAGAGTTAAGACTCTCTATTTTCACACAAGTGTGTGGTTGGTTTGCTCTAGAACCAAAAGTGATATTGAGTTTGACATTCACATTATTCCTTAATGAAAGAATAATATTATAGTAGTATTATTCACTTAGGCTTCAATATTATGATTCGTCAACCCTGCTGAAATAGAATTTAAAATGATATTGAGTTTGACATTATGTTATTCCTTATTGTTACTCACCAACTTTAGCATAATGTTTTTGACTCTCGAATCTAATCTTTCAACTTACCAGTCTTACAGGTGTTTATCAGATGCATGCGTACAAAATATATTGTAATCGGAACTATTTTTTTATAGTCTAGTTGATCTATATATAATGTTTCTTTCAATATGAAACACATTTTATAATTTATGAATGAACTTAGAAACATTATAAACTCAAACCTCCCACAGAATTATCTTTCCTGAGCCAGGACAAATGCACATCTTAAAAGTTTGCTGCAATGTATTAAAACATAAAAAGTAAAATCACATCTTAGTTAGCTTTTAACTTCTTCAAAAACAAAAAAGAAAAACAGATTATTGTTGTTCATGTTTTACAATGTCTAACAATGTCTTCTATAAAGTAATTAAAAAATTATTGTTGTTCATGTTTGTATATGGAATTGATATACGAGATTTTGTATAGTTTACATGAGATTTCCTAAATTTAAACTTATATAACCCATCATATTACATTCATCGTGATCACCACCATCCATCATTCGAATTGTCAACATTTTTTAATATATATATTAGTTTACGGCATGGAAAAACTACAGTAGTCGTGGCGCTTCCAACTTCACAAATTTAAAGTTGTTTATGGCAAAAGACGAGTACAAGTTGGTCCATAACACCATAAACATATAACCAAGTAGCTGCAACTTGGTACTTCATGCTTAGTATTATATACGTAAATATAATTATAATTTTTGTTTCCTACTAGTGACGACGAAGAAATTCGATATTAGTAGTAGTTTGAACATTTTCATTACTTAAACTAGTGCAAGTTACAACACATCTTTCTATGATTCTGTTCTTTTAACTAAAGTTTCTATATTGCTTTTGAAAATAATTATGTATTAACAATAGTATATTTCATAAATTACTAAGTTTCTTTACAGATTGATATGACAAGTTGCTTATATATTTTGTGGCCTAGTAGTAGTGTCACATGCAATGGATTTGGTTAAGTAGAAGTATAGAACTATATATAGAAAGCATGAGAACTGGAAACAAATTTGTAATGTATTTCGACTGAATTTTTTATTTTTTAATTCATTTGGCCGAATGGTTTTAATTTGCTATGATTTTCGCTTATGTTCACAAAACGATACACGAGGACATTTCTACAATACATAAACCAAAATACAGAAACTAGATGATGGTCAAATTAAATTGTCATTTTGAAACCAAAACCACTTCTTCTTTATAAAAAAAAAAGAAAAGAAAAAAAGAAGAAGATATGAATTTTATGCAAGTGTAAGGACATGCATTGCAAAAACATCTCTAACTATTTTTATAAACCTGAATTTTTTGATTATTAACATAAACATGGATTTATATATATAAAACATCTATAACTTATTGAATTGAGTTTTCAGGTTCACGTTTTGGTACACATTTTACGTCAATTAGTTCGACCCAACTACACTGCTTTAATAAAACAATTGTATTATCAAATCTATTGTTCTAGAACCTCTTAAACTTTAATAATTCTTAAAAATCTCGAAGAAATTTATTATTTAATCAAAAGAAAGAAAACAAAAACTGGACGAGCCAAAATGTGACCTATGAGAGCTATGATCCGTGTGGTCCTTCAAAGAATAACCAGCGAAATCTGTATATAGATTATGGAATAAATATTATAGGTATCAATAAACTAGGAGAGAAATGTACGAGCCTGACAGATCCGGAAAGAGCTAGAAAAGAAACGTGACACATTTGTATTCATTCAAGGAGACAAGTAAATTAAAAGCCTAACTTTTATTGGTCCGTTTGATCAACTCAGAGCTGGACATGTGTCTTTTCCTCTTTTTCTTCAATCTTTCGCGACTCTTCTCTTCTTCTCTTTTCTATTCTACTTTTATTTAAAAAAAAAACATTTTTATTTGTTTAAGATTTAGGTTCACATTTAACAAAGGAGAAAATTTTATACTACTAGTAGAATCCACTGTTCAGCTAACGGCTTGCCTTTGCTCAGCTTGACCGACATACCCTAACACTTAATTTTTGCCTTCCATAGTGGGATTTCTACAAAGTTAAATTTGCAAAGTAGCCATACTTAAATATAATTAGTTTTCTGATTAGTTGTATCAAAAATGATCTAATAGTTTGATTCGTTTTCTAGTGGTAGAATCACATGTATAACATTTATTGAAAAATCAATCTTTTTACAATGAAAAGATGAATTTGTATGGGTAAGAAGCATGAGCGGCTTGAGCAGCGGCTTTATGTGAGAAATCGAAGCCCCACATGTCCCCAAATTCAAATTATATATTAATCCAAATGAAATCTGATTAACGCACTAATCGATACTTAAGGTTTTAAATTACTCTCATTCTTCGCTTACATTACTTATATAAAACCCTCTCTCGCATCCTTCCTCAGTTAATCATCACTGCTCTCTTCTCCATCTCGCTTTCACTCGCTCTCTCTCTTGCCCTAGCTTCCCTTTTCTCCTGAATCGGCCTCACATCACGGCTTTTCCCGTCGAATTTCAATAGGATCTCGTGACTGTGAGCCTCCATTTTCGAAATTCTTGAGCTGACTCGTCTCCAATAGTTCATCGGTTAGTCTGATTCCGTGTATCTCTCTATTCTTAACCTGCAATTTGATTTGATTTTACAGCTGCATGAGTTTTAGATTATTAGAATTTCTAAGCTGAGGATCCAATTTTTACTAATGTATGGAACGCTTTTAAATAGTAATGTATCAAAGTTTGGTTCTGCATGTGCAGATTGGTGAGAGTTTCTCAATCTTTGAGTGGATCTGTCTCTCATCTTTTCAGGTTTGGTGTCTCATCTCTATTATTTGTGTTTGATGCTTTTGCTAATTCATTTTTTCTTTTCTTAAGATGAAAATCACATAAGAATGGAATATTGTATACATTATCTTATGATCCTTTTCATTCTAGAGGGATTGTGATTGTCATTTGTATTGTTACTTAGTTTTTAGTCTATGTTCCTTTTACTTCAGAATCTCGTAATAGTTATGAGCAAATAATCGACTCGACTCAGTTGATCTGAAGCAACACAGAAGACAAATCTACTGTGGTTTTCAAGTTTGTTTGAGTATGGTCTACTTTTGTTTAACATGGCCTTTTAAGTTAAACCCTCAATATGGATATGATCTATTTAAAAACTTCTGAGAATTTAAGCGTGATCTTGAGTTCCTTGTCATTCAACTTTGATTCTTTGTCAAATAAGACTTTTCAAATAAGTATATGATAGGAGAATAGGCCCCGTTTTAGAGAGCAGTTATAGGATAGCTTCATCTGTGTTCACAGTCTCTAAATGTACAAAAATGCATTTGCACAATGTCTTCAAAGAAGAGAAAGTGTTGTTTTACTATGGGGAAATTAAGATTTTTTTTATTGATTGAATGCAAGACAATTTTGTCTCAAATCCTTAGAATCAAAAAGACTAGTTTGCTGTTGCATAAACTAGGCAATGCATAAATTTAAGGTTTATATCTGCTTCTCTTTGTAATTGTATGCTGTTCGTTGTTTATAATATGAATTTTAAATCTGAAAATTCATCTTCCCTTGTTAATGCAGTGGAAAACTGCTACAGTTGATAGAGATAAGGTTCTGACAGTCCAGCTGAGATGCTGAGTATCACCATTTGAAGACTAACATGTGTACTTGAGTTGTCTCTCATGTCTAGACCATTTGTGAGAAGGGAGTTTTTGTTTGCACCAATACCCACCAATCTCTATATTTGTAAGAAGTATTATGCTCAATTAAGGAAAATAGTAGTTCAACATACCACACTACCCTTTTAAGTAGTATCATCCTATATGTTATCTGCTACCTTAGCTAAATTTTGCGTTCTCATGGTGCTGCAGTAGGGTTAGTTTCTTGTGTACCTCTAGATATACATTCTCTTGCTGCGTAGGGTTCCCAAGCTGTCAAAACTAGTGATCTGTTCCCCTTGATATTCTGATCCTTCAGAAGTTAGGTATAGAAGTAAGTCGATTAAGTTCATTCATGACTTTTCCAGATGTTGCATACATAACTTTTTTTCATTTGTATTCGAACTAGTCCAAGCCGATTCTCAAAATCATATAAAATCATTTACACCTTGGTCATGGTAGCTAAGAATATTGTATCTAAAATTGGGGAGTGGGGAGATGTTTGGTTATATTCCCTTCTCATCGATGGTCTAGATGTGCGAGGTGACTCTCATGGAGGTAAAGAACAATGGTGATTTTGTGAAGAACCCAACGTAATGGTAATTCCTAAAAAGGTTAGAAGTTTTTTCAGCTTGTTGTATTGCTAAAATGGGGTTGATGTACTCAACGACCCATTTTTTGGGGTTGAGTACCTCGACCCATTATTCAAACTAATGTAAATGGTGAATGCAGCAGTGACTTTGTTGCCTTTTGCAAGAACTAAAGAAGACAGAAACAGGTGTGTGTTTATCGTAGAAAGAGCAAAGTGAACGAAAGGTGTACCTTTTTGACTTGTTGTCACTGATTTCTCCCACTCATCCATCTCATGCTGCATCAGAAAACAACATAAGAAATGAATGACGTAACGCGAAGCATTAGGAGTTGCTTGTAAATTAATACATTGCCATTACTAACGTAATTCAGTAGATTCTAACTACAAATGAAGTCAATGTATCTATCTGTCTACTTTAGCCAATGTATGATAAGACCAAATAGTCTTCTCTTTTTTCAGAAACTCTCTAGGATTAAAAAGTTTGTGGGTGAAAGAAATATTATCGTGTGGATGATAAGAATAATTGATCTTGTGTTAGTAAATTAGGAATAGACTAGCATTTGGCCCCTGCTATGCAGGGACAACATTGTTTTAAATTATATCTGCTACAACTCTTAACTAAGATTTTTAAAATAAAGCAGACAGCATAAATATACAACAGATTTATTATCATTGACTGAAGAATATACAAAGATTAAGAAAAAGATATAAAGAAGGTACAACTTTTCTACCCAATGAATCAATTGCGATAGACAGTAACTAACAAATCAAGAGTTTAGAAATATAAGAGAGTATAAGTACAAAAATTATGCTGGGTATATACATGTCCGCTTATTTCATCATTAGCTCCAACCAATTGTAATGTGTTCTTCTTCTCATCATCAGTAATTCAGTTTACAAACATTCGTTGACACCCAAAGCTTGGAAGTCTAAAAAAAAATGTAAAATGTGCACAAGTAAGTAACTACATGACGCAGACGCTGCCTTTGAAACAATATCAAAGATATTGCAGATATAAAGAAGTAAAATAAGAGATGACTTTAAAATTGAAGTATTTGTATTAATACAAAAATCTTGCGTGAAAATACAATTGCGGTTTAATACAAAAAAGAAATTGCAGATATAAAGAAGTAAAATAAGAGATGAAAGAAGAATAGTAAAAAGTATGAGAATTAATTTACCATTAAAAAAACACTTGAGCTTCGATTAAGATATTAAACTCACTCTTGTTTTAAGGCAACTGTTCAGATGAGAAGCCAAAATTTGTCGTTGTTCCTTGAGTGTTTGTGAGACGGGAGAATCATAGGCATTGATTGTATTAAAGAATAATCCTATGGAAAAATGGAGATGTATGAGAGAAATCGAATTCAGTCAAATAAAGCAGAAAAAAGCAAAAAAAAAAAAAAAAGCCATAGAAATCTAGAAGAAGGATATATGATTTTCGGATCTATGGAGAATTCTATATATATAAAACAAAATTACAAACAGAAATAGAAGATGGTAAATTGGTTCATTGAGATGAACAAAGTACCTGATTTCTGAGTAATCGATTAATGATGTTGAGAAACCCATCTTTGAAATTTTACATAGTAGTCATGGAGTTTTTGGAAGAGAGAAAGTGGAAATGTGGAGATCGTGAGGATGAAAGAGAAAATCGTTTGAGAAAGAAACAAAGTTAAATAAAAACGACACATAAAATTCCTGCGTGAAAATGAAAGAATAAAAAAATAATACTAAGCTGATGTGTCAATCACTGAATGCATCAGTTATTGGAAAAGTGACTGCTGATTTAGTATATTAGGAATAGATATACAAGTAGGTTTCTCTCTAAATAAAAAATAAAAGAGTTTAAATTGCATGCGTATAAAAGAAAAAAGTAAGAAGAAAATATGTTCCGGTTAATGGTTGGGTGCATCCGAATCGAACCGGCGCAAACAAAAAAATCTAAAGGAGATTTGAGGTGATAAAAGGAAATCAGACATTGAACCAAAAAAACAAAAGCGAGACGGTGGAAAGAAAAAACTGGAAAAGACAGTTTTAGCCCCTCCTAAAAGCAAAGAAAAAAAAGATAATAAATAGCTTCGTCGTCGTGATCGACCTCTGAAATCCCTAAAATCGGAGGGAAAATATATTGATCATAGCTAGGGTTATCGACTCTTTTGTCAACCTCTCCATGGACTTTTTCGGTTTTAACAGACCTCAGGTCTGCAAAGAACTCAAAGTAATCTTCCTCTCCTTATCCTTATGGCTCTCTCTCTGTTTATCAATTTTCTACGTATTTAAGAAAAACATCTGATTAGATCGCTTTTGTACTTTTTAGGTGCTGAACCTGTTTGCTGATAATCCTGAGATGAAAGCCTTTTTCGAGAAGCCAATAGCCAGGTAAATTGATGCTTTGATTTTTTTTTTGTTTTTGGAGATTTGTAGATGTAAAGATATTTTCTTCATCATGTGTGGATTGAATAATTATTATTATTATTGTAGTTGGTATATCGACGTTGAAGGATTCGACACTTCGCTTCCTGAGGATGAGATGAAGGAGGCCTTGACTAATCATTTCAAGTCATGTGGAGTAATCGCTATGGTTTCTTTCCGGAGACACCCTGAAACCGATGTTGTCAACGGCCTTGCTACTATTACCATGATGGGAAATGACGCTGATGAGAAGGTGATGCTACTTAATGGAAGTGAATTGGGAGGAAGGAAACTTGTTGTCAAGGCCAACCCTACTCCCAGACTGAAACTTGACCATCTTAACCTTCCCTTTGGCGGCTCCTCTGTCCCAGGTACATCATAAGTTTGGAGTCTCTTTGGTGTTTTCAGATCCAGATACAATGCAACCTGCTTTCTTTTCATCACTCGTTGGGTCCTTATGAACTGTGAGACAATGAAACCCCCTTTGGGTCTTTCTTTCTTTGCCATGTTTAAATGTAAGCTCCATATGTATGACGTTTGTGTGTGGATGATTAAAGTAAGCTCTATTATCATTATCTAGTTTGACATTTGTGTGTGGATCATTAAGTAAAGCTCTATTATCATTGTCTAGTTTCACATTTGTGTGTGGTTGATTAAGTAAAGTTTTTCAATTATTTATCCAGCTCTTTGATTCGGTTGTCAAAATCTGCTCAGATTTAGTATCTCGACTTGGTTGTCTTATGTGAACCACCAGTTTACTGTGTTACTCAAGACAGACTGAGACTTTAGCTTGAGGACCTCACTGCACATATCCAAATTCTTAGTCTCTTCCTTAGGCTCTCAGTGAGGGAGATGCGAACTTCCGAGTTGTAGCTGTGTCTTCCTCATTGTTTCCTTTGCTTCTGCTTCGGTCTCTCTGTAGTCTTCTTTCTTCCTCGTGGACATATTTCCCGGAATTGTTGCACCGTTTCCTCTATTTTCTACACAAGGTTTTAGGTGCGCAGTCTCAGGGTTGTTTCTTCTTGAAAATGATTCCATGTACTGCGTAACTCTCTTCTACTTGTGCCGCTGCAACCGCCTACTTGTTCCCTTGTTTGGACATTGCTAAATAAACGCATACATACAATTTTGGTTAAGAGATATCTAAAAATGTGTTCCTATCAACCTTTGTAATAACTCTTCTAGATTCTTTTCGAACCCATGAATGCCCATCTCAACCTCCTCAAGTTTCTTTTGAAGATCATCACAAAAGCAGCATAATATCGTGAATCCAAACTCTCCAACATGTTCTCCTAAGGTTTTAAGTTCTTCTTAAAATCTGTTTCATCAGCCCGATGGTAGTCTTGCTTTTGTTCACTTACCTACAAAAATCACGCCTAAATGCCAAGGTTTTTTGCTTGACACCTTTGCATATATCTCATCTAACAATCTCATTATCATAGCTTTAAATAAAGAGGTTTCCGTGAATACATACTTTAAAAATCCTAAAATCATACTCTTAACATATTGATAAAGGTACCATAAGTCATCACAAGTAATAACAAAAGATCACAACAAATGGCAAAATGTTTAAAAGATCTGAAGAGATGTTTTCATGTCCATGTCCTTCAATCCTCTTTATGATCTGAAAAAATGTATTTTGAAATATGAATTACAAATCTGTTGAGACAAAAACAAACCAAGAAACCATATATACAATGCTCAACTGGGCTGAGAATTTAACTTTTAAAACCAAGAAACCACAAACATACCACACTACCCTTTTAAAAACTATCCTATATGTTAGATGCTTATTGCATAGCCTAATTTTGTTTTCTCATGGTGCAGCAGGGTTAGTTTCTTGTGTACCTCTAGATATATATTCTCTTGCTGCCTAGGGTTCCCAAGCTGCCCATTTTTTTTTTTAAACTGTTCCCCAAACACCCATCCAATAAGAAAGGTCTACTTTGTAGCTCAAAGCTATTAGAGTTGTGCTCGCGTCTTGGTTTTACTGTTTTAGTTACCCCATCGATGGTCTAGAATGTGCGAGGTGACTCTCATGGAGGTAAAGTGAATTGGTAATTTTGTGAAGCACCCAACATAATGGTAATTCCTTACAAGGTTAATTAAAAGTTTTTTCAGCTTGTTGTTTTGCTAGATTTATTCTAGACCAATGGATCTGCCAATGCAACTTAGGTGATGCTTCCAAGTATACTTGTGTGAGCTTTTTTCGTAAACTAATAATGTAAATGGAAGTGATTTGTTGCAAAGGTGAATAGGTGTTGTTGCCTTAGCAAGAACTAAAGAAGACAGAAACAGGTTTTGAAAGAGAGCCAAGTGTGTGTTTATGGTAGAAAGAGCAAAGTAGACGAAAGGTGTACCTTTTTGACTTCTTGTCACTGATTCTCTCTCACTCATCCATTTCATGCTGCATCAGAAAACAACAAAGGAATGGTTGACGTAACGCCAAGCATTAGGCGTTGCTTATAAATTAATACATTCATTCCATTACTAACGTAATTCAGTAGATTCTGACTACTATGAAGTCAATGTATGTATGTATCTATCTAATT